CTCAAAAATCCGTGTGTGCGCGGAAGGTGATTCGTGTGTGTTAGACGATCCACGCGTGCGTAGGTAACAATTTGTACGTACTTTCTAAAGAATTGCACACGAAAAATTGATTTTAAGCATTTGTAAAATGTGTTTTACGTGCAGTTTGTACAGCATGCATTTGTGAACCTCATGACACACACACACACAAATCGCTTTATACGTGCAGATTGCGCAGCACGCATTTGTGAACCTCATGACACACACACAAACAAATCGCTTGTTACGGACAAAACGTTAAACACGCATTTGTAACATTTTTGATAGGATTTTATCTCCATAGCTGTAACCTCTCCGGGCGAACTCTGCATATCAGGTAGGAAGTGTGGTTGTATTATCTCCAGTCTTGTCCACATGCTTAGCCAATTAATTTGAAAAGCCAGACGGAGACGAAACATCAAGGTATAATTATTATACTTTATTGTAAGGCTATATTTAATGGGAGGCTACTCGTAATTAGCTAACTTTGGTCGCAGTTTCATTTAGCAAAGCTAGGGTCATGCGAAAGAAGAAGAAATGATATATTTGTTATATTTGTACTGTTGCGGAAAAAACCTTTGATCAGACAGAAGGGTTTTATATTTCAGATCCTTTTATTATATGCAAAAAGTTCCATAGTTGGTTCATCAACAACTGAAGAAACTTGTGCAGTTAAAATTCTTCTATCCCATTAATGTCCACACCCTGACGTCATCGACTGTCCACTCATTGCGATAAATGGATTTGTTTCTGTCTTTGTGATTCTGCTACCAAACTCTACTTTTTCTCACCCCGCGTGTGTATGTGTTGCAAAAGATGTGCATTGTGCGCGTCTGGTTTCTGTTTAACTTGACCCAATTGCAACGTATCATCTGCTTCGTGCTTATCAAAAATGTATCTCGGCCTTCAAACGTGTAGTCAAAGCATGTTTTTGTAACTAGATGTTCATGGGGCCTGGACAGAAAACCTCCAAAGATTCCTAACGAGCTACAGTATTTATCCCTGCCAGGTACCAGCTTAAGCCATGTCATCAAGTACACACTTCTCAAACAGTGAATAAACACACAATATTGAGCGAAAGAATACACACTAAAGTATAACAATACAACGCATACGTATATGTGTACTACATAGTGTTTATAGGCAGTATAAATGTTAAATGTTGCATGTGTGAAACGAAACCTTTCTTAGAGATGTGTGTTAACTGCTCACACCTCCGGCCATCCAGTATTACTCACTTGGCAAGACACACACCACCTGCTTTTTAAAGACCCACAATCTCCAACTCAAGAATTAACTGTCAGACAGATACAGTTCCCACTGCAGAATACTCCTCTAACCATATTGTTTTCATGAAAAATGTAAAGAAACATATGTCATTATAAAATAATATGCAAGAATATGTTTTCAGATGAGTTATGAAGGATTTTCCACTACAGTACAAAGTGTGCAGTGTTTGATCATAAAACTGCTGCTACCTGAATATAAAACAACATACAGTGCAGATAATGTGTTGTGTCTTTTGGTAGCGAACTTTGAAATCAACCCTGCTTGTTTGTTTTTACTGTCAAGTTGTGCAACAGTAAGGCTGCTTCCAAGCCAGAATGTTTGAAGAGCTTTGATGAACAAAAGTTGATCATAAAAGTACTGTAATTAGTTCGGATAGCTTTCTCCCATAGTTTTTCATAGATATGTGACTTTATTGAGATGTTTATATCAGCAGTTTTAAAATGGCAGTGGTAGAACAAAGATACTTTAGTGTTATTTAAATATAACATTTCAAAAGTAAAGTAGAAAGGTTCACCCTTTTAGTATTACACCATTACTGTATGTGTGTTATTTTTGGATTGTTAGTTATGGTTCAATTATTTGTCTCATTTTACTGTTATATTAGGTTGACGTGGAGCTAATTTTTATAACCTTGTTTATACAGGGGGTGGATGTATACGCTTACATAAAATGGAAAAAATCAAAGTCCAGGGTCCTCAGTACTGGTTTAAAGTGCAGTGCTGTGACTAGATACATTTTCTGTACCTTCACCTTGCAGAACAGTCTGTTGCCACATACTGGATCACTCATCTCATTGTTGCTCAAAACCAGTGGGAGTTTAAATTTAAGTTTAAATTTGTTCCTGCAGTCATGTACCTGTACCTCCTGGGGCTGGTAGTTTTCTACTATGTGTACCGCTGGGTCAGGGAGCAGCCCAGGGTCCCCAACAGGGGCAGCAAGCATGTGTACATCACAGGCTGTGACTCTGGCTTTGGCAACCTCCTGGCCCGGCATCTGGACAAACAGGGTTTCAGAGTGATCGCTGCGTGTTTTACGGAGAAGGGAGAGGAAGATCTGAAGAAGTCCTGCTCCAACAACCTGATCACATCACACCTAGATGTGAGGTCAGAGGACAGCATTGCCAAAGTTGCAGCAATGATCAAGGACAAAGTGGGGCAGCGCGGTGAGTGTCGAGGTTGCAGTACCTCAACAAGTGCTAGATGGATTGGTATAATACTTGTATACACAGATTCATATTCACAGTATGAAGCCTGCTGTGTTTGGTTGACTGGTTTGAACTCTGTTACTGTCCTGAGATTGACAGTTGTATTTTTAGTGAAATATCTCAACAGCCACTGGATGGACTGCCATGAAATTAAGTTCAAACATCCATGTCCCCTCTGTGTCAACTGTCATAGCTTTGCTGACCCCTTAACTTATCAGAGCACTGTCATCGAGTCAGAGTTTTATTTGTCCAATACCTGCCTTTATAGCGTTAATATGTGCAAACCAATAGATACTACTAGCAGCCTCTTTGTTAAATGCTAACTAGCATGTACTAGTGTCAGTTTGCTCAGGCTCAAATTCAAGAACGAGGCTGTCTGTGTTGTGCTTTCTAAACTGCTGATGTATTAGATGTCTACAATCCCACAGGTCGCACAATCATGTAACTAGCATGCACTGACAGTTCAGACCCCTTCACCCTTGCATAATTTACTGTGTTGTAGATTTGAATTTAAATAGATAAAATCACCATTTCCTCATCAATCTACACTCAGTAACCCATAATGGCAAAGTAAAAACACTGTGGCACTCCAAACTGACTGAATACTTTCTGAAGCCACTGTGTACCAGCTACTAGTTAGTTGTGAGGGATTTGACAGTGTGAAATTTAAAGAAATATGTTGAACATTATTTTATTGACTGACATGCTGTGTGTCTTCCCAGGCTTGTGGGCTGTAGTCAACAATGCAGGTGTGTCTGTTCCCGGTGGCCCGTGTGATTGGCTGACCATTAATGACTACAAGTCCATGCTGGATGTGAATCTGAATGGGGTGATCGCTGTTACCCTGAGTGTCCTGCCGCTAATTAAAAAGGCCAGAGGAAGGGTGGTCAACATAGCCAGTGTGTTTGGGAGGATCTCTGTTACTGGAGGCCCATACCCTGTGTCTAAGTTTGGTGTGGAGGCTTTCAATGACAGTCTCAGGTAAAACATTGACTCACTATTTGTCAGTATGTCAATGCAAAGATTTCTGCATACAAGCATTAACAAATGTCTTACTTACTTAGATTAAGTATGGCACCGTTTGGTGTTAAAGTCCTCTGCATTGAGCCAGGCTTCTTCAAAACAAATGTGACTGATGTTGGCATTATGAGTAAAAATGTCAAGCTGTTGTGGGACAAACTGCCCCAGGATGTCCGAGAGGACTATGGACCTGACTATGTACAAAAGGGTAGGTTTGGATGATTTCTTTTCTTCATTCAAACATATTTGATTTTAATTCATCTCTTTATGTATTCCACTCATTTTATCCTCGTAGCTATAGAAATAATAGAAAACAAACTTGCCATGATGAGTGATGGAGATCTGATGAAGGTGGTCAGCTGCATGGAGCACGCTGTAGCCGCGGTGAGGCCTCGCACCCGCTACTCCCCCGGTTGGGACGCCAAACTGTTCTGGCTGCCGCTGTCTTACATGCCATCTTGTGTAACTGATTACATCATGATGAGAGAAGCCATTCCTATTGCCAAACAATTGCAGTAAATAGTGTTTTTTTTTTTTTATCCGTGTGTGCACATTTTGTGCTTTTCAATTAGAAGAGTATTACAGAACACCATGCATTAAATGTCTAAATAAACATAAAGAACTGCTTTGTCTGTTTGCATTCCTTTTAATATTTTATGTAGAGTTGCTTGTCTCACAAATTGCAGGTACTTTCAAGGCCACCTTATCTACAGACAATTATAAGTATGTTCAGTTTGTTTTTGGCTTTGATAGGTATGTGCTAAATGTTAAGGAAGCAATAAACTAGCAGCCTGATTAGACTTGATTACACATACAGTATGTTTCTGTCATTTTTTTGTGGAAATCCATCTTATTGCTGTAACTGCATTTTTTGCTGATGTTAATACTGCTATTTTGTTATATTACACAGCCTTATGCTAGTTTACTGTTTTGCACATTGAGAGCCAATGTACCTGAGCCAAATTCCTCGTGTGTCCATCACACCTGGCCAATAAAGCTGATTCTGATTTTTATAATAGTAAGGCATATGTAATTTTAACTGTTCAGCAGTATGCATTTGGTAAATTTTGAGCAACAGAGATACAGGACTGTGGAGAACAATTCAGTGTATTTGGCTAGTGGCCTGTGGTAAGTAGTAGTATAAGGCAATTTTCAAAGGTTGTATCTCCTTCCACCTGTACAAATAAAACCATAATTTGCTTGTTAATACTGCTTATTTTGTTACATTACACAGCCTTATGCTGGTTTACTGTTTACTTGCCCAGGTCTCCATTTTATTCCTATTATCTCATCTCAATGTGCATTCCTTTGTCTGCATTGTTTACTGCCTGTTTATTTTGCATTGTTTGCTGCTTGTTAATACTGCTTATTTTGTTATATTACACAGCCTTATTTATGCTGGTTTACAGTTTACTTGCCCCTTGCATGGGGATACATACATACACACACATTGAGAGTTGATGTACCAGAGTCAAATTCCTCGTGTGTCAAACACACCTGGCCAATAAAGCTGATTCTGATTTTTTCTGAAATAAGAAAAGTAATTGGAAGATTCTTCCTTAGCTTTTCTAACAGCACCTTTGTTTTTTCTGTTGTAAACCAAAGGCAGGCAGGTATGTAAAGCTACCAGTGCTTTTAGCTACTGTATGCCTGCAAGTTGCTGAGCAGTCCTTTTGTTGTGGAATTCCCATTCTCTGTTATACACCAATAGTAAAACATTTGCACACACTTTCTAATTGAATTGAATCGGAAGGCATGTCTAAACCTTTGACTGGTAATGCATTTCAGATGTACGACTGAAACAGCTATAGAAGCGTATTAAAATAATCAACTTGAAACCTGCAATAAAACCGCCTAAACTGGGAATCCTGTCCCACTATAAAGCCACTTTCTTTTATTACATATCCTTGCTGTTGATTCTGTGGTTTGGGCCTCTTCACCGGTGATTTGGCGAGTACAAGCTTCCAGGTTTTAAACAAACATCCATTTGTATTGCAGTATGTGACAAGTTACAACAGAGTTAAATTATGGCTCCAGAATGCCATTTGGTGCTCAGAGTAGTTAACCATTTCATGAAATTCCCCATTACGAACCAGATCTCAACTACAACATCATAAAGCTGAGGAAATATGCAGTTGACAAGCCTTTTTGTGTAAGACTTTTATTCCACTGTTCACAGGACACATTAAATAGAACTTTCTTTCAGAATGATGAGACAGGTAAATTTGCATTTTGACATGTTTTACAAACCAAGTGCTCCTAATCCACAGGACCCCTCTCTCCCCCACAACAGGTAATTATGACATTTATGAGTGTTCCTCGGCCAGCTTCTCAGCCTTCTGAACTACTTCCTCGATGGGGCCAACCATGTAAAAGGCCTGCTCAGGCAGAGCATCATGCTCACCTACAGAGAAAAGTAAAAAACATTATTACAACAAATTGATTTTAAAGTAGGTGCGAGTCAAGATCATAATCTAGAACAGCGTGACTAATCCAAGAAGCCTTAAAACACTTGCCAGCAAGGATGCTCTTGAAGCCTTTAATAGTATCCTTGAGGGGCACCAGCTTGCCCAAATGGCCAGTGAATACCTCAGCCACCTGGAAGGGCTGGGACAAGAAACGTTGAATCTTGCGGGCACGGGCCACAGTCAGTTTGTCCTCCTCAGACAACTCATCCATACCCAGAATGGCAATAATATCCTGCAATGATTTGTAGTCCTACAGGGAGAAATGGCAAAATGTTTAATTAGTACTGCAAAATTAAATATTCAGGTTTCAACTAGAAAAATGCATTTCCTGTCGTGAATGCGTGTGGATGCTGATAAGCTGAAAGATCGTCCTGAAAATGCCTGAAATCAATTGCTGAAACAGCTGAAGGATAAGAAATGGCCGAAGTTCTTTGTTGAATAATCTGAAAGATGAGATGCAATAAATACAAGTAGGAATGTCCTTGAAGAGCTGATCATTTGGCCCCTGGCGCATGCAGCAACTGGCAGTAGTGGAAAGTTGGCGTCCTGTAGTTTCTTTTTTTTTTTGTTTTTTTTTGTTTGAGGTGGTTTATGTTTCTGAACGTAAGTGGATATTTATAACAAAGAACTTACTGGTCCCCCAGCATTATGGATTTTATTTTTTTTATATCGGGGCGTGGTTGTCGTTTTACTGGTTTTGTGCAGTTAGCGGGGTTGTGATTCCGGCGAGACTGTATTATTCCAGAGATACGCTGTTACAGTTCAACCTGGACAGTGTAGCACCTGGGACTAACTTTGCGCTGCAACTACTGGATTCTATTTTAAGGGACTCTCGGGGAGAATGCCATGAAAAGGTCTATAGTAGGAAACGCGGGGAGGCGTAAAAGTATGCATGAGGAAGCGCCATCTTAACCGCATCCCTCTCCCCACTATCATTATGGGAAATGTACAATCCCTGAGAAATAAGGTAGATGAAATTCAGGGTAACGTACAATATCAGAAGGATTTTAAGAATTGCTGTGTTATGGCGTACTCTGAGACATGGCTCACTGATCACGACTGCAACCCGGACCTGCTGATGGACGGTTTTGGAGCTCCATTCCGTCTGGATCAGCAGGCACAGGCAACAGGGAAACGCCAGGGAGGTGGAGTATGTTTATATGTTAACAAATGGTACTGTACATTTGTGACGGTCAGAGAGTGCATTTGTACTCCAGATGTGGAACTTCTGTCTGTATCGCTACATCCTTTTTATTTACCCCGGGAGTTTCCTTAACTTTTTATAACGATGGTGTAAATACACCCAAAGGCGGATGCTGCTTCGGCCTCTAGCACCATCTTTGATGTAGTACAAAGGCTGCAGTCAATTTCGCCGGAGGCTCCAAACCTTATTCTTGGGGATTTTAATCATATGTCCTTGAAGAAGATGCTCAAAAACTTCTATCAGTATGTCTCCTGTCCAACCAGGTGGGGAAAGACACAGGACCTTTGCTATGGATCGATAAAGGGGGCTTACAAATCTCTCCCCCTTCCTCCCTTGGGCTCCTTTGACCATAATTGTGTGCATTTGGTGCCCACATATAAAACTGTCTTAAAGAGAGAAAAGACAAAGACCAGGGGTATAAAGGTATGGACAGATGAATCAGTGCTCTGCCTTCAGGATTGTTTTAATTGTACAAATTGGGATATATTCAGGCAGTTTTGCGGGGAGGACTTGGACTACGTTCACACTGCAGATCTTAATGCTCAGAACGGATTTTTTGCTCTGTTGTTTACACTGTCATTTAAATGCGACTGCCATCTGTCTCGTGTGAACGGTATACGGCCCTGAGGTGACCCGCATGCGCAGAAGAGGATGTGACAGACGCAGCGTACAGTGTTTGCGAAAATAAAAATGGATGTGGCTCGTGATAGCATGTGCGTAGCGATGTACCAGTTAATGTGCAATCAGAATAAAGAAATAATAAGAAGAATATCAAGAAGAAGGAGAGCACAAATATTGCTTATGGCCTCGCCTCCTCCAGTGCAGAATTGTGACGTCTGTTGCATTTCGATGACAAAAATCGCATGAAATGC